TGAATGTATTCTGAGTCAGTTTCAAGTGGTTCTATAAAACTAGCTAATTGATTTTTACACCCAAGAACTATTCCACCTGAACGATAGTTTGAAAATGCTTTTCTATGTTTAGCAAAGAATGTAAAGTTTGGCAAATCAATATTGTCTTGTTCATCAGTTTTTGATTCTGTAAAACATACTATATCATATTTTTCAATTAGTTCTCTAAAGTCTGGGTATTGCAATCTCCTGCTTAGCCCACATACATTTAAATAAAAAAGTTTAAGATCCTCTGTTATGTCATAGTCTAGATTTGTACTGTTACTAGTGCTGTTACCTTCTCTTGGGGGGTCATTAGGATATAACATATTTATTCTCAGATTATCAAGTTCATATTGGATATTGGTGCCTTCATGGTTGTCCTATGTTCCATGTACCGATTCCGGTGTGGAGCGTGGGGTTTCCTGGGTTCGTTTCGCCGGTTGTTCAGCGTCGGGCACAAATAGCACGTTGTTGATATACAGTTTATCATAAACCATTACCGCTTTCTTTTGTTGTCTCTTTGCTGACTTATAAAAGGGATAGAGCATCTTTCTTTTCTCGTTAATTTCATGGGGGTATTGTTCATTTATCCCATATCTATTGTTTTCTATACCTTTGAGTGACGCCGCTCTTCTCTTAATGTTGTCTCTTACTTTAGAGTTGGCAAATTTAGCTATAATTGGTCGTGGTTTACCTGGTGTCTTTTTCCCCATTCTGTGTACTCTATGGAAAGCTGGCATGTGTTCCACCTTCATTTTATTTTCCAGAAAATCGACCAGTATGGTTTCTGTGTCTTCCTCGTCTGTTTCATCAATCCCCGTGAAAATAAGGTTATCGCGCATGCTTCGGGCCTGTAGGTCTACTTGTTTTTCCTTCAGTGTTACGATTTCGTTTTTCAAGCGTGTAAGGTTATCTTGTACTGCGTCGATAACTTTCGTAGTTTTTGCCTCGTCCCTTTCAAGCATTTTCATATTTTTCTGCATCTCTTTCAGTTCAATTCGGTTGGTTTCTGATATTATGTTCAAAGCACTGGGTCCATCTTCAATTTCCCCGACCTTATCTTTCATACCTTTCATCTCTTTTTTCATGGTCTCCATGTAAATCAGCCGGCGGTCTATTACGTCTAGCTTTTCCAGTCGTGCATTTACCTCGTCAACCTTTCTAGTAAGATTTCCAATCAATCCATACAAGTCTCCTGGTTGGGGCACTGGTGAAATATATCCCGGGAATTGTCCCTGGGGAGAAAACTGCAAAAACCCTTGTGGCTGCGGTGCTTGGCTCATTGTTGAGCTCACACGTGGTATTGGCGTCGAGTGATTCGTTGTCACCTGTATCTTGTTGACGCTTTCTCCACTGATATTCTTTTCTTTGTTTTTCCTTTTGTTGTTTTTCTTTACCATGGTATGCGGGCGTAACTATAATTTTCATCATATCTCATGCTACAAAGCTGTCAAGGTAGAGTCCTTTCAATAAAGAAGAAAATGTAGAGGACCTCGTTCATGAGCCTCTCCCACGACCGGAACCGGGTGTGGTTGTTGTATTTGTATTTAAAAGTAGGAGTTTAAAGGTGGCTGTCATGACAATTTACTTGTCTGATTTGATTTCTTAAATTACTAATATTGAGAATTTGAACAATTTTTCTCGTAATTTTTTAAACTTCCATGTAGCCCCCATTCAGATGATCACGGAAAAGATTATCAAAATATGACACTGGCGCTGTGCTATTGAATCAATGATTTATTTATCATTCAATGTAGTAGATAAATGGCAGTAGTGGGCTATTGTAACAGATAACTTGTGCACTTTGTGATATTTGAGAGAGAGTAAAGACAAAGATATAGAGAGAAAAGTTAGCATTTTTGTACCATCAACGAAGGCCGCAGGTAAATTATGTGTATTTTTCTTCAGCGAGAGAGATTATCTAGTGATAATTCAATCTGTGACTCTTGTAGAGGGCAGTCTTTGTGTAATAGAATATTTGTGGTGTGTGTGTGTTTGGGGGGGGGGGGGGGTTAACTTTTATAGTACATTTATTTTTAATTGTCATCATTTGGACAATCTTTTTGACCAAAGGTGTATATTGTATAATCTTTTCGATGTGGTTTGACAAATATTATACCAAATTACTCAATTGCGACTTTTTGGATAGTAATGTAATAAGTTTTCATTGGAAAGACCCACATCCCCTCACTGTCAAGGTACAGGCCATGTTTATATCCGTCAGTCTTCACGTAATCCATGCAGAACTGGACAACACGTTGATCGAATGGAGACTTGTCTGCACATAACCCAAGTAAACAACATATAGAAGCAGCGATTCCAACCTCTGCCAGGGTCGGCAAAACAACGTGGTCGACTACGTTTTCTTGTTGGACTATTGCCCTAAACTTTGGAAACGAAGCATCTAGTACGTCTGCAATACCACCATCAAACAGAAGATTTTGCCAGACTTCAAAAAGCAACTTCTGATTTCCCAACGTATGTGGAAACAGAACCTCGAAACACTTCAAAGACGCGGATCCAATTATATTTACTGCGTGGTTAGCTAATACTATAACCATCTGCCCTCCTGGTTTAAGAATGGCATACATTGCAAAGATGGCTTGCTTCATATTCTCGTATGGATCAAATGGATCATCGAAGATACTTGTCAGATGATATAGGACGTGTAGTGCTAGCACCGTGTCCTGTAGGTGTTGTGGATAGGCTTTCTTGGCCCTCAAATCTTCTACAGAATGCCCATAGTAGTCTTGAAATGGCCCGGAATAGGTAATATCAATACTGGCCTTGCTTATGTTATTTATTATCTCCTTGTATTTTCTCAGATAATCCTCGTGTGGCTCCTCCACGCTAATGAACATTTGCTTATTAAGGGCTTCCATTTTTCTGAATATGGGCTCCGTTGTTTCTCCCGTTCCTCCTCCGAAGTCCATGATGCGCACTGGTGATGGTATCTCTGACTGGGTCAGTAGGTCCCACAGTTTACTACATGTGTCTATGTATTGGTCGGGAAACCTTCTACTGCCTTCATTCAATCTGGTGGTAAAAGAAAATAAAGTACAAAAACACCCACTCCCGCACATATAAAGACATATACCTGCTGTATAGAGAGTTCTAATGAAATAAAAGTAAAGTAAAAAGCTCATTTCTTATATACCGCACGACACACGCGTCTCAGCGCGGTTTACATCATTGGAAGCCTAGGCTCCGTAACTCGAAAGCAGCGCGAATTACGACCGAGCGCAAGCATCCATCCCCAGAAATGCACTGCATGACGTCACGCTTAGCCCACTGCGCATGCGTGCACTTTTAATGAGTTGCTAGATTGCCATAGGAAAATGAATGGGTTCGCGATTCGTGGGTAATTCGTGATAATTGACAAACTAACGGCCTGATGCCGATAGACAGCAACGCTGTGCTATGCTTCAAGCAACTCCTGACCAAATATCGCTAGGGTTTAAAAAAAATTATGTTGTACACACGTATTAAAAAGCTTGCCGTGTATTGCCTAGCCTACCCTCAGCAAAACGCACATATTTTCAGAAATAGTGATTTTAGACGGTAGATTCACTCAGAAACAAAGGCAAACTAATTCGTTGCCGATAGCACCAGCAGATAGCAGCACCATACAGAGTCTGATTAAAAACTTTCATGGCAATTGAACTTTTACCACTGTACAATGGAGTCCAAAAAAAGGACTTGGCACAAATGTGAAACTGCCCAGTGCAAGGCCAAGAATTCAATCAGTATTTTCAATCATATTATCAGATTCTACAAAAATTGACTGACAATATCACTTCTCAGTATTTAACTAATCTCTTAATCCAAAATTCCTATCATCATTTAATAATAATGCAAAATTCTTTCAGATTGCTATTTTTTTTTAAATTTTAATGCTGCAACTGTTCCAAAATAATCTTGTAATAAAGGAAAAATGCAAATAAGAAGTGGAAGACCAATTTTACCCACATTATTCAATTATATGAATATAAAAAGAATAAGATCACGATTTAACAAATTAAAATAATCTTTCATGAACTATTTCATGAATAACATATTAAACAAAATTAAAGTTATAAATTAGTGGCAATGGCTTATTCTGGAATATATGACCTCTGCACATCATCAGTACCTGGCTTGGTACAGTATAGTTACTACTTGGATACAGAGTTAGATTTAATAATGTAACAATAAGAACAATATATATTACAATAAACTTCTCTGCACATGTCGGACGCTTGTTACCATGAACTAACACTACTTGACAATGGGCTGAGCACTTATCACAGAGTCTGTGTGCGATGCCATTGTTGTGCTGTGATTGGCTAGCTGAGTCAAGTGAAGCCCTACTGTAGCGCCCTCGCGTATCGCGTGAATGCTGCGCATTTCTGGCCATGCTCTATTCCATAACTCACCCATACTCTCCCCATATAATAGCCTTGAAATAAAAGGTGATGTCGCTATTCGCAATTCACGATGATTTCAAGTTACGGAGCCCTGGGCTCGGAATCTCGAAAGGTTCGCTATGTTGCGCACACGCTCTAGCATGGCTAGCGTGCGCTATCCCGTATCTCGAAAGAATCGCTATTTTGAGCGCCTGCGCTAGCATGGCTAGCGTGCGCTATCCCATATCTCGAAAGCTTCGCAAATCCCGGCCGTGCGCTAATGTCCAAATCGCCATTAGTTTCGAGGCTATTATTTGCGGCGATACAAACTAGTCGCAAAGGCCTCTGCGTATGCAAAATTCGTCATTTTAATGTGTCTTTCATGTAATTAAACATGGTGGCAAGTTTGGGTTGCTAGTCATAATAGCATATAATAAAACATATAACAAAAACATGGAAGCTTTTAATTGATTGAATCACTGGTACCTCTGATAGAAAAACTTGCGGTAAATATTCACGTGAAGAATGCCAAAGTCATATTTTATTATGCAGAAAAATTTCAAAATTAAACATTTCATACATCATTATATATTTTCTGGTCCATTTCATTCATCTGTGTAGTCTATTGATAATAATAATAAATTAAAAGTGTCATTTTCCACACAAAATGAAAAAGCAGAAACAAAGCATTCGGCCGCACCGTGACCTTCCTCAATGTCTATTATTGTGAGACTGAACACTACTCACCATTGTGTCAGTAATTGTGTCAGTCCAAGCTTCGCTTATTGAATTGTTTTTTGACATTTTATTGGTGTCAAATACTTCAAATATCAGTATTTGTAATTATGATATTCCTATAAATAAAAACAACCTCTTGATTTGCGTCATGGTGAAAAAAANCACTACTCACCATTGTGTCAGTAATTGTGTCAGTCCAAGCTTCGCTTATTGAATTGTTTTTTGACATTTTATTGGTGTCAAATACTTCAAATATCAGTATTTGTCATTATGATATTCCTATAAATAAAAACAACCTCTTGATTTGCGTCATGGTGAAAAAAATTGCATTTTGTGTAATTGTGTTATGACGTCTTCACTTTATGCGGCAATCGAATATTAGTAGAGTTTGAGGTTATAATTGCGATGCGTCTGCTAAGGCTTCGAGATAGCAGGTGGGTGCAATCGCACTAGCAAATAGCGCACGCTAGCTATGCTATAGCGCGTGCGCAACATAGCGAACCTTTCGAGATTCCGAGCCCTGGTGTTTTTTGCCCACCATCAAACAGAAGATTTCGGGGAGGATACAGCCCAGCTGCTGCATGAGGGGCTAGCCAACAAATATGTGAAATTTATTGCATACTACCAGCTGCTGTACAGGTGTTCATCGGATACCGTTCATAAGGTAGCTGAACTACTCTGTACGTGTGACTAACTCTGCAACCATTGCTTTATATATATATATATATATATATATATATATATATATATATATATATATATATATATATGTTTTTAAATATAATTGTGAAGGACACCCACCGATGCAGGACCAAAACAGCCTCGCACTGCCAAATTAGAGATTGCGTTGACCACATTTGATCTGAAGCAGAACCGTAACACGTCTATAGTCTTGGAATTTAAAGATCAACCAACGGCTGTCCATGCAGATTGCAATGCAAAGATTTATGTAATTGTTACAGACCCTGCATAAAGTAGAAAAACTCACCCTTTGCATAAGGTAAACCAAATTTTGTGGTACGCCTGTGATAAAGTAACTGATCGGAATTCCTCCAGCAGGTTACGCCGCATCTCCTGCTCGTCAGGACATTCACTTACAAATGCAGCCATGAAAAATGAAGTAAACTCAAATTTTGGCCTTTCTCTTTTCTCACCAAACTCCAGAATTACCTGCAAAACACGCTATATGATGCGTCTGCTGTAAGCACATACCAAGAAAGATGTATTACTGGGCNAATAAGTGGTGGCCATCCGCGATATAAGTCAGTTACAACTACTTGTCTACTGTGTGAGACGTTATCTCGGATGTCAGTCAGTGACGACCAGTGTTGTAATTATTAAATCGAAAAGCACTTGTTGACATTGTTAGCTTAACTTGTTTGACTTGCCCAAACCAATGTATTACAAAATATACACCTTAATGATTACTCTGTTGAGAAATGTTGGTATTTTAGAGGGCGAACGGTGCCATTTGGTACAGTTTAGAACTATGACTCAGCTAGTCAAAATTCTGATTTCACGAGGGGAACAGAAATCGATCCCCCCCCCCTAAATCCGCCACTGTACCTTCTTCGTTTTGAGCAAAATACAATATCAAATAGGACATTAAACCTCGCGCGAGAATATGCCATTGAGAACAGCTCTTCAGTAACAGTTCCTCAATTCCTATTAAACTTATATGTACCGTACGTGTCCGGGTTGCCATGCTCGATAAGATTGTGATAGAGCGACTCAGCAGTGCGACAGTGCCATTGCGTCTCTCTGGGCTGAGTGATTGTACAAGAAGGAGCAGGGCTCGGAATCTCGAAAGGATCGCTATGTTGCGCACACGCTCTAGCATGGCTAGCGTGCGCTATCCCGTATCTCGAAAGAATCGCTATTTTGAGCGCCTGCGCTAGCATGGCTAGCGTGCGCTATCCCGTATCTCGAAAGCTTCGCAAATCCCGGCTTGCGCTAATGTCCAAATCGCCATTAGTTTCGAGGCTATTATTTGCGGCGATACAAACTAGTCGCAAAGGCCTCTGTGAATGCAAAATTCGTCATTTTAATGTGTCTTTCATGTAATTAAACATGGTGGCAAGTTTGGGTTGCTAGTCATAATAGCATATAATAAAACATATAACAAAAACATGGAAGCTTTTAATTGATTGAATCACTGGTACCTCTGATAGAAAAACTTGCGGTAAATATTCACGTGAAGAATGCCAAAGTCATGTTTTATTATGCAGAAAAATTTCAAAATTAAACATTTCATACATCATTTTATATTTTCTGGTGCATTTCATTCATCTGTGTAGTCTATTGATAATAATAATAAATTTAAAAGTGTTATTTTCCACACAAGGGATTTGCCTCCCTTTCTATCTTCCCTTCTTAGGTTTTTCTTTAATACTTTACTTCCAACCTGAAAGTCCTTCGTGAAAAATATTAAAAACGGGGGACTTCATATATTAAAACGTACAGTCCGCAGACTTTTAGATTTAAAATGGACAGTCCGCTTTGAATCGGAGGGTCCCCCTCACTGTTGCACTTTAGGCAATAGAAAATCGAGTTTAATCCGTACCCATAAGGTAATATTCATTATTTTTTTCAATATGTACGCTTTATACATTTCATTGAAGTAATAGTTATATTGGTGCAATATAATTGGAACCAATTATCAATAAAAAAATATAATTTATTGAATTAAAAAAGACAAGAATACAGAAAGCCTGGGTGTTTATTGTTTACAATCTTTGTTTTACAAAATACTCATATGTGTCATTCTTTAATATTTAACTGGTTTCAGCTTCTCCTTCAGCTCTGAAATACAGAAAAATCAACGTACTGTAAATGCCGTCCAAATTGGTCATAAAAACGCAATGACAATATATATAAAGTTGATGTTTCAATAGCTAACATTGTTTTTATATATTAGATAAAAGATGCTATTTAAATTTTATAAATTTTTAAAAGAAAAATCACCTATTTTCTCTGTACTGCTTTAGTTGACCAGCACCCACAGCCCTCTTAAACTTTTTCCCTTGTAAATTTTGCAGAATATACGTGCCGTTTGGCTTCTTCGCCACTATTGTGTATGGTCCCATGTACCTTGGGGCAGATTTGCCTCCCTTTCTATCTTCCCTTCTTAGGTTTTTCTTTAATACTTTACTTCCAACCTGAAAGTCCTTCGTGAAAAATATTAAAAATGGTATGTATTATCGATGGTAAAAACGAATCTTTGCCACACACCAGTGATACTACATACCTTAAAGGAAATTACACAATGTCAATGTATTTGATAAATATAATGATTTTATGTGAAAATAAGACAATACTTAAGTTTTTAATCCTTAGTATATCATTAGCAAGAAATTAATTCCTACTTCACTCTGGTGTCTCAAGTCGTAATATTTTTTTTTGCTTTTCTTGGGCAGTACGGATGTTCCTTTGTGCTGCTTGTCTGACAGTATTGTTTTAAAGGTAGTTTATGGTTTCTACCCTGGAATGCATATCTTCCACAATATCACCAACTTCTTCATCAGTTTGAAGACTTGGCTACCTGAAATTAAGTTTATTGGCAGTTATTATTAAATATGTCGTTGGCATTTGATCTGTCACATTGTCAGCACTGTGTACAAAGAAAAAACACAGTCTTCATCTACCAGTTAATGTACATAATTGTTTACAACTGCAATTTTTAATAAAAGTGAATCTCTAAATTGTTCTTTTTATTTATTTATAAGAGTATATTTCAATTTGATGCGATTAAAATACATACACTCCAAACATCAAGAAATAGGGACTCATCTTGGTGGAATCTTGTATTGCTGTGTTGTAGGCAAATACACAGCCCGCTAGGGTATCGTCCCACCTTTTTGGGTCGTCGTATGACTTTGCCATACTATTTTTGAATGGTCTGATTGAATCTCTCTGTGTTTGAAGAGCAATAAAGTAAAATAGCATCATCAATGCCGATAGAAATCAGTACAGAACGTGAGGTACTATAAGGTGTAAACCTTAAAGAGTAAAATAGAAAACACTGTAAAGGTCTTTATAAAAAAGCGAATTAGAAAAAAAATGTAACATTTACTATGTGTTTGCGTTAAAATTTCGGGATAATAAGGAAAGTTCAAAATTTATTAAATAATAAAAAGATCGCCGATTTAGTTGGAATGAGGCAGATCGACTCACCAGTTAAGCCGTTTGACTGTGGGTGATATGGAGAGGTTATTTGTCTTCTTGTTTTAGTTGTTTTACAAATCTCATCAATGAGGTGGTTGTTGAATTCCAGACCCTGGTCAGAGATAATCACACTCGGATATCCAAATCTAAATCAGGTAATTGATAGCATTAATAAATAAAATATAAGATAACATGAGTTTAATATATTATCTCACTATGTTATATAATAATGACGAGATGCATAGATGATTCACAGGCAAAATGAATAAGTTTTAGCACTATAGAATAAAACACTTACATCATCATGAGTTCAAGGAGGTATGAAGCCACTTCAGTGGCACATTTGCTCTTAAAAGGTTTTGCCGAAGCATGTTTAGTCAAATAGCACAACACTGAACAGAAGTACTTGTTTCCGTTGTACGATTCCTCCATTGCCACAAGGTCAATTCCAATCTGTAATAGATATTTGATAATAACATATATATAAAGTAATATCTGTGTTAAAGGTAAAAGGCATTGCGGGTGTGTTAAATTTTGGCCTGTCATGTATAATAATTGATGGATAACCTTTTCGAAATCTTTGTAAAGCTTTTTTTTTATATTTTTCATGTGTAATTATTAAAAAGGGGTAACTACCTGGCTCCATGGCTTACAAATAGACACTGGTACTGGGTGGAGAGGAGGTGTGGTGTTCTTAGCTTTTGGATTTTGCATTTGACATCTATGGCACCTAGCTATGTATTTTTTTACATCATCTGACATGCGATGCCAAAAGAAACGTTGCTGCACTTTGAGGAGAGTTTTTGTGACTCCCATGTGACCACCTGCATTAAAACATTACAAGAGACATTAAAAAAATGCAAAATACTAAAAGCATATAATGCCAACCAAATAGTTTTAAAATATGATAAGTCTGAACATAAGTTGCGCCCTTACTTTCGTCATGTAATTGCTTTATTATTGTGTGCTTCTCCTCAGAATTTTCCACAACTTTCCGCCATTTTCCGTTAGTGACCGTGGTTCCTCCATCCTCAACATTCTTGATTTTCTTTTCAGTTCTGTACAATAGTATTCCATCTTGTAGCTAGAAAAAAAAGGAAATTAAGAAATACACTATGCGCGCTCCATGAGGTAGAGACGAAAAAGTTGATACGAAATGAAAAAATGCTTGTGTTATCATGTATATGGTGTTATCAAGTATATGGCAACCTGCAGATGAACAGTCTGAAACAGTGTTAAATACGCAGCTAGTATTTTGTTTACCTTGTAATGTTTTTTAGCGGTGCGTCTCAAACATCTTTTAGCGTTCAACGTTGCGCCAGCTTGGTACTTTCCCTCTAATAAATACAACCGCACCGCTTTAGGATCCATCGCGAGTTTACTGTGAGTAAGATGAACCCTCCATAAATATATAGGTCTCGTGTGTGAAGAGTGAAAATTCCCTGAGGCGTACCCATTAATACACGGGTGTATATCTTTACATGGGTTTAGCTTTTACACCCAGCGTAAAATGAGATTACCCATCGAAAAGTTTTCACTAAATATCATGATAAAATAAAAAATAACATTGGGATATCGATAAAAAGGGCGAATCATAGAATAAGAATTTGTTTATAGAAATACTCTGAAATGGGGTTCCTGTGTGATACGAACCTGTTTACTCACCATATCCATATCAGCTGCTGGATAGCCTCTATTCCATCCCTGCATCTCTGCCACTGTACCACGAAGGAAGCTGTGCCGAAAACCCGAAACACGGTGACTCTTATTGTCAACGCCTTTTCGTGTTCAATAGTAATACAATATGAATATTGATGACTATGTTTATGAACACTTAATACATTTATAAATATATAAATTAGAGGACAAGCACGGACTCTGAGTTTTGCTATAGTTGTAACGTGACAGAAAGTCCGTGTAATAGAGAGTCCGGGAGACCCTCTATT